CAATACTAATGGTAGTTTGCTCCTAGCTTGAAAAAAGGGCTAGGCATGGCTTGAAACATTGCTGTTTAGAATAGGAGCGCTATTTCTTTTACCATTTTAATGCAACAAACTTGGAAGCAGTATTTAAAACAGGGAGACCTGTATGTAAATGTCTTGAATTTTTGTTTACTGCATACTATAGCAGAAAGTTTCAACTTTCCAAAATAAAAAAATAACCTACATGGGCAAAATTGATACCTTAAGATCATGAGCAACATAATACTATTTTTTTTAAAAGTCTGCTTAACTAAAAAAAAAAGATATCTTCATTTTCCAAAAAATTAAATTGTTCTTAGACGTTAAATGCTACTTAGTTACTGATGCAAGTTCTACACTGCCATATTTTCACTGACAATAGGATTAGTCAAACCATTGGTAGGATTGCAAGTAGAAGTGTTGTAAATAAGATATAACAAGCATAAGAAAGGACAAAAGTCTGCATGGTTGTTTGTATCAAGAATTCCTAAAGAAAGAGGAGCAATCCATCGGATCATCCAAAAAAATTGAAAAAAGTTACTCAAAACTCCTTGAAGCTGATTAGAGATTTGCCTTTGAATGTTTACGGGTTTACCAGACCAACCCTTTGGCTGAAACACTCAATAATGTCAAATAAATGTTAAAAATTAAAAAAAAAAATAACATTTCATTTTAAAATGATGGATTGTTTTAAAAAAAATATGTTGTTGGTTTGATGGAGCTTAAGTAATAGTAAATTAAATACACAAATAAATAAATAAATAAACTAATACTTGAAGATCAGTCCCATATATTCATGCAAATATTCTGTACATTTAGAAATATAAAATATTTGTAAGGTGGAAGCTGATACTTACATAAATAGTGGTTCCTGTCACTCTTGACCCAGTCCTGGTAAGAAGGGCTCCTGGTGTAGTTCATGGATGGCTCTGTGTCTTCATACTCTGGCAGATCCAAAATCCTCCGAACTGTGAAGCTAAGGCTGCTGGAGGAAGACATGGCAGGGAGGGATGTAGTCCTTCAGAGATAAGAACTAGGAAACAGCCACAGAGTTGGATGGCTCCTTGGAGCTGGTTCCACACTTAGTTCCTTCTTCTCCCTGTACAGCCTAAATATTAGTATCACTTACTGGGAGATGCTGTTTATATAAACATGCCACCCTATTTACACCCAAACATAAACTAACTGCTTTCAGACCGTCCCTGTCTATGGGATGCTAAGTACCAGTGTGAGTCAAGTGCTTAAGACCCTAATGGGAACAGAAGCCCCCCTCCCTTTACCTTCACTTATCCTCACTCCTCCCCAGAGATAACTCTTACCTCCCAATGACAACAGGAAACAAGATTCATCTTTACATATTCTGTCTGATTAGCCCAAAGTGGGAACAGATAATGGCAATTGTTACTTGTGAATAACATCCTGGGTGGCATGCAGTGACCAACATCCCCCTCCTAAACTGACCCTGCCCCCCTCTTCTTAAACCCCCCTACCTCGTGTAACCAAGGGATGCATCAAAGTGAGTTACAACCACAAATTAAATAAGTAAAATGATTGATTCAGTTTTATGGGGAATGCAAGGATCTATTCAGGCCTTGGAAGACTTGGATGATAGAGATCGTCAGTTTTGCATTATTCAGGATGTTTTCCAGCAAGATTTCATTTGCATCCACCTGCCCTGCGTGAGATAGGACAGGCAATTCAGGCTGCACAGTTACTATCTCCCCCCTGGACCTGCTGAAAAGAGCCATGCTCCTGCCGATAAGGGCACATATTTACTTTCACTCTGAATAAGAAAGGCTGTCTGAGAGGGAATAAAAATGCCAAGATTATCCTGATAAGAGCCTTGTCTGTAACTTATTTTCTTATGACCACTGCTTTCATTCTAGTCCCTTTTCCTTTCTCTTCCTCCTATTTGCTGTATACAAAGCACATCTTTTCACTGCAGTTTCTGGCTAACTTGCCTTGTTTAATAAAACAGTCTTTACACTAATTTTATGTTTTATAACATTACTTTGCAGCACATTTACCAATTAACATTAAATTCCACAGTCCGCTTTAATTTAATATGCAGGGAAAAAAAACTTTGTGTCTTTGGAAAAAAAAAAAAAATTAAAGGACAGTTACTATACAGAAAGATGAAAAAGGAAAGCAGAAAATAATGCTACTGTGATAGCAAGGTGTTGATGGTATTATCAATAGGGTTTCTGTAAGTAGAAGGATCGAAAAGTAAAAAAAAGTCTATATCTTGGGACATAATAGAATTTGCTATGTCTAAATTGCTAGATTCATTTTATGAATTAATTAGTATTGATCAACAGGTTAAAAAAAAAAGAATAAGAAGAAAAAGAAGCTGAAATAGGCGATTGTCACTTTGATAAATGTACCCAATTAGCCCTGGGATACATAACAGTGCAAACATAATAGAGACCCAAAGACTAAAAATAACTAATTTAATAACTAGCAAAAATAAATAATTCATGCTTTTATTAACAGGGGTACATAACATAAAAAATGTTCAAGAAAGTGTTCAAGAAAGTAGCAAATCTGTGTTCTCTTTAAAAAATGTAATTTTAAAAATTAAAACATCATGAAATGTAAATGTTTTTCTTTAATTTGATTAGGCATTTAAAAGAAAAATATCTTGCAACCTTCGCTTTACAAATGAAGCTTGGCTTAAAAAAGTTATTTTTTTATACTATTTTAATTCTATATTTGTAGTTTTAGTTACAGAATATTTTTATTATTAGTTGTAGTAGTTGTAGTGATAGTGGTAGCAGTAGTAGTAGTATTCATAATAATAAATATAGACTGCTACATTTAATACGTAAACACAGTTAATACATATAAATACTTTCATGTACTTTAACAAAACTTGCAGTGATACATTTAATTTAATATTTTTGTCTCATATTAAAATTTAGATCTATTATATTAAACGTTACATTCATTCCCTTAAATCTATATTAAACTGAAAATGTCATAATGATTGAATTGATTTATTTTTTTTATTGAATATTTTAAAAAAAATTATTCCTGTACATGATGTATTCAAAGCACAGCATAATATTGAGATTTGAACGCTGGTTTACAAAATATTATAGTTTCTATAACAACAATTTTAAAATTTATTAAAACTCTTTATCTGTCACTTTTGTATGTGTTTTAATAATTTTATGTCCTTTAAATCATCTATTACATTAAAGTCTTTAAAACAAGCTTATTGGGGCAAGAGGAAGTCTTGATCTTTTGAAAGTTTTCTTCTTTAATGTGAATATTAAATTTTTTTCTTTTATATACCAAATTTATAGTCACATAGTATAAAGCCATATATGCCCTGTTATATTTATAGTGTTTTTAGATAATAAACACTGCATTTTTTTTTTTAATTTAGTAGTTTGATGAACATGTCTTTTTTTTCACAACTGCCATTAAAAGATCAGTAAACCCTTGCATTAACTTTTTATTTTGATTATTGTGCATTTTACATTAGATCTTACTAGAGCTTACAGAAAACTAGTATAGCCACGTAATAAAATATACATGCATTATACCACTTTGTGTCCCCATAAACTGGTTACAATCTACTATTTAAAAAATACTTTTTATAAAATATATTAGAGAACATGTTTACAAAGCAGTGCTCACTGGAGGTGACTGTTTTGAATAAGTGATTGATTCACCTTCGGTGAATATTCACATTTATTGCATTCTCAATGTGACCCTATGTTATTTTTGTACTGGAGCCTAATTTTGGAGTGTTTGATAGCAAAATATAGTAGCAGAAGACCTTGGCGTTATGACCCACAAAAAATTCCTCAGTATCAAATGAAGATGATATGCTGTTTATTGGAAAAAACTTGAGGTAGACAGGCCACTGAATCTCCTTGCCCTGGCTGTCATCATGCACTCTCCCCTGTCTATACATGACTGTATTTAAGCATGATGTTTACTCTTAGCACAGATTTAGTGCCCCTGATGCAAAGCTTGAACTGAGACAATGCTTTTTGACTGCCTTCCCCCTTTTATTGAAGCAACCCTTTCTTTGCTGCTCAGAAATAAAGGAAATGTACATTTCTGCATGCAGCATTTAGATAATGATTTTTAAGGAAGACCCATGCAGAGCGATGCAGGGAAGTTACATAACCAGAGCATAGCACACTGGTCATGTGATATTTGCCAGAACATAGAACACTTTGCTTGGTCATATGATCTTAGGTAGGTTATACTTGGAAAAGCATCTCAGATCCATACCTTAGGCCCCTTTCACAAGGGCATTCCGTTTGTCCGTTTTTCATCCATCCGTTGATGGATTAAAAAGGACATCAATGCATCTCTACGGAAAAACAGATGTAAACAGATGATCATCCATGTACGTCCTTGTACATTCGCATCTGTCATCATCTGCTTTTTGGAACAGATCAAAGATCTAATTTTGTTCCGTTAGAAAAATGGAACAGACGAAAAACGGATATTATTATTATACAATATTTATAAAGTGCCAATGGTTCGCTCAGCGCTGTCCATTACAAAGGGGGACAGAACATGTGACAGAACAATACCAATACAATGCAAAACATGAGGGAATCGAGGGCCCTGCTCTTTCCAGCTTACAATCTAGGAGAGTAAAAGGACAAACGGTCCATTTTTGCATTGGTAGTTTGTGTAAAAAACTGACTTAAAAACTGATGAAAAATTAATGTAAAAACTGATGTAAACTTATGAAAAACTGATCCAAAAAAAAAACTGAACTGATGGAAAAAATAGAACGCCCATGTGAAAGGAACTTTAGCTGTTCACCTTCCCTGCAATGCTCTTCACTGGATCCTATCTGAAGTAATGTAAGTTTTATCTTTGGCCAGCAAAGGAAGAAAAGCAGGAACTGATATGACTGCTACCAAACCAGTTACTACTTGGAAATGGAGATGGCCTTTTATATTGGCAGCACCTCATTATACAACTGTCTGCTTTATATGCAGCGCTACCAGGGGCGGACTGACAACTCATGGGGCCCCCGGGCAATAGGGGATCATGGGGCTCCTGTGTCCTTGCCCAAACTCAAAAAAGCCTATGAAAAAGGTACCAGGGGCATCTCATGGGGCCCCCTACTGACCCCCGGGCCCTCGGGCAGTGCCCGAGTTTCCAAATGGTCAGTCCGCCCCTGAGCGCTACTATTTAACAGTGCAGATCATCAGAAAGGGTAAAAAGGGTTTAAAGTGGAACCCTACCTCACCACTCCACTACCCCATCTTAGCCCCTCCCTGAAGCACTGGTTAAATGTAATATTTTTTAAACATCATATTCATACATTTTTCTGGCCATATTCAGGCAAGACTGATGAGGTCACGCCTTCCTCCTTGGTGGTGGCAATAGGTGGTCCTTCCTCCTGGACTGAGTGGCACTGTAGTAATGATCTGTAAGTGCTTAGTCCCAGAGTTCTGCCATTCCAGTAGGTGTAGTGACCCCACCCCAGGGGGGCAGGTCCATGAGAGCCTGGGCTCACAGGAATTGGGTTGGATGATATTGACCATCATTCAGCTTGGAAGACTGGTAACATCTAGTGGCAGAGAAGAAGTACTGCAGAGGCAGCTCTGAAGTGAAAATGAATATTGCAGCATTAAAAAAAATCCTGTAGTTCCACTTTATTTGGTTTGAGCTACAGAAGGCCTTTTGATTCACTTAAAGAATATGTAAAACCAACATTTCATTTCATTCCTGGTATGTGCCTGGTGTACCATGTACTTGTATGACAAAGTATCCTGTTCTGTATTGCTGCCACTGTGGGAAATCCCTGGTGTTCCTGCCAGTTCCTCTGCTTTCTGACCACTATAAACTGACCACACTAAGCAGAACACACCATGGCCAGTTCTCTAAGGGTACTGGCAACTCAGCCTGCTCTCCTCCATTGATCACACTTCTCCTGACAACCCCCCTTTCCCACACAGCCATTCACAGAGAAGTGTGCTGTTGTTTCTCCTCCCCAGCTCTTATGCAGCTGAGAACAGAGGGAATGTAATTACTTATAAAAAAGGTAAAAAAAGGTATTTATAATGTTTTTTTTTACATCTATACACTGTTTTGGCTTTTGTTTCTACTTTAATCTGAATGGCTTGTTTTACAAGGTGAGCATTTCCAATCACTTTAAGCAGCTCTTGCCTTTTCCCTAAAATTATTTTGATTTAAATTTACAAATTTACACATTTACTTTTCAAAATGTCATTTACTAACAAAGGTCTATAGGTTGCTATAAAATGAGAAGATAATAAAAAAGGCAGCTAAAATGTGTAGAAGTGTGTGTCTGCCCCTTGTTACACGGCTGTCTCAGGTACTAATGTAGATGTGCCTTATGGTAAATATGGCCCTGTCTATTCAGGCTTTCTCTTTGTTGTGTTTATGCACTTAGCATACTCCTCATCTGTATGTTTATTCAAAGCAACTAGGCTAGCTTTTGTGTGTTGTGTTATATTTTTCTGCATGCTCGCTCACTTTTATAAAGACTTTATTAATGCACCAGTTAATGATGTTGTATGTGGTTCTCTCTCACCTATGCGATCTCTTTGCCTTCAGCCACTTCAAGTGTAATCAGGAACATGCACTGAAGGATGTTACCCAGAATATTAATCTGCAAGGTAATATAGCCACAATATGAATTTTTTAAAGTAAATGTGTTTTTTATATTTACTCTGATACTGGCTGTGAATAACTACATTTGTAAAGCAGAACTGAAAGTGTTACTAAACCCAGGACCCTGCATTCACTATAGCTGGTCTCCCACAGTACACAGAACATGGAAGTGCAATTATTTTAGTAAATATAAACTGCTAAATACCTTTTCTCATCAGCAGTTAGAGCAGTCTTGTGACTTTTATCAGTGTCCAGCACAGCACTAGTTAAAGCTAGTAGGATGAGTTTTCATTCTCCTCTAACTATCCTATGAGACTGCAGGATCCCTGACCCTCTGTCAGTGCTGATTGGCCCTGTGCTGATCATATGCACTCTCACAAGAAAAAAAACAACTCTCTAGCAATACACACCAAACTGAGCATGTGCAGCTTGTCCCCAAGGCTCTGCTCTATCAGGAGATGAGCCGGAGAATAAGGGGAGGATCAGAGAAAACAGACAAATCAAAGAGCCTTTTTACACAATGTGGAGGATTAAAGCTAGTAGGAGGAGTTTTCATTCTCCTCTCACTGTCCTATGAGAATGCAGGACCCCAGACCCTCTGTCAGCACTGATAGGGCCTGTGCTGATCACTTGCACTCTCACAAGAAAACAAAACTCTCTAGCAATACACACCAAACTGAGCATGTGCAGCTCGCCCCAAAGCCTCTGCTCTATCAGGAGATGAGTTGGGGACAAAAGGGGAGGAGAAAACAGACAAATCAAAGCCTTTTTACACAATGTGGAGGATTAACCCCTTACGTTCCACAGTGACTATAACAAGCATGCATTACTGCATATAAAGATTGATTTTACTGTTGTGGGTTTAGTAACAGTTGAAGGTGAAGACCAAATCTAACTTGGTTAAAAAAAGGAAAGACTCCAGCCTTAGCCTCTTGTAAACTTTAACTATTTGCCAACTGATCCATGCAGATATACTTTGGGCCTGCAGCTCTTTTGTGCCAGATCACATACATGTACGTCCCGCCTGCCTCCCCATCTGTGCTGTCATTTGCTACAGCACAAGCTGTTTAGCGGATCCCGGTCAATGATTTATGGCCAGGACCTTCTGAATGGCTGAGTGCATGACAGAACAGAGCTTTGTGTTTACAAACAACACAGAGCTGTGTACAGACAGTGTTTTCTTCCTGCAAAGCAGGGAGTAAAATCAGCCACATGTCTTAGTAAAAGCAGCACATATTACACAGTACACATTGTTAAGCACACAGCTTTGATCGCCCATAGAAGTTAATCCCTTCCCAGCCAGTGTCATTAGTACAGTGACAGTGTATAGTATTAGCAGTGATCATTATATTAGTGTCACTGGTGATGTCAGTCAGTTCCCACAAAGTGTCAGTTAGTGTCAGATTGCCTGCTGCACTCAAAGTCCCCCTATAAGTTGCTGATCACCACCATTACTAGTATAAAAAAATCAATCAGGCGGCACAGTGGCTTAGTGGTTAGCACATCTGCCTTGCAGTAAATGGGTCATGGGTTCAATTCACGACCATGGTGCCTCCTGCATGGAGTTTGCATGTTCTCCCTGTGCTGGTGTGGGTTTCCTCCCACACTTCAAAGACATGCTGGTAGGTTAATTGGATCCTGTCTAAATTTGCCCTAATATGTGCATGTATGAATGTAAGTTAGGGACCTTAGATTGTATACCCCTTGAGGGTTAGGGACTGATGATGAAAATGTACAATATATATGTAAAGTGCTGCGTAAATTGACAGCACTATATAAGTACCTGAAATAAATTACAAATTCCAATATACATACCATAGTTTGTAGATGCTATAGCTTTCACAAAAATCAATTAATATGCACTTATTGTTTCTTTTTCTTTACTAGACAAGTAGTATAATACATTTCGGCCTACAATTATAAAGAAATTTGATTTTTTAGCTTTCTTGGATTTATTTTATAGCAGAAAGTAAAAAATATTGTTTTTTTTTTCCGGTCTTATTTTTGTTTATATAATACAAAATAAAAAATAAAAAACCCAGTGGTGATCAAAAACCAGCAAAAAAAGCTCTATTTGTGTAAAAAAATTATATAAATTTAATTTGGGTACAGCACGGCACCGCGCAATTGCCAGTTAAAGTAGCGCAGTGTTGAATAGCAAAAAATGGCCTGGTCATGAAGGGGGTAAAATCTTCCGGAACCTAAGTGATTAACTTCTTCAAATGTGCGGCCTCCCGTCATCTGGGCCTAGGCGCCGAGCAGCCGCACATTTGCGTTCTATTAAAAAAGGACATATGTGCCGAGAGCATGTGCCCTGCGCGCTCCCAGCACACATGTCCGGTACTCACGGAAAGGTACAGATCTCCCCTTTCGATCGGGACCTTTCCCGATCATGTGACTGCCGTGACGGCGCGTCACAGCGGTCACATGACCTTAAACCCCTCCCCGCCTCCTGGCTTCTGAAACTCCTAAAGGGCCGGGAGGTGCTGGCACGAAGGGGTTAAAGAGCAACTACAGCTGCTATATTTACCTTATTTCTGATGCTGCCCCCCAACAGTCTTAACCATTCACTTATTCCGTACTGCTCATCTAACACCCAACGAACCCAGGGTGTCAGTGACCTTCTACCCACACTGGACTCACAGGAGAATGCTGCAGAGTGTCATTATCAGGCAATGCTCTGTAGTAGAATGTTCATATTAGCCCACAAATGTCATATTATTATTACATTAATTAGCATTTGTATTAATTACATAGTTGCATAGTTAGTCTGGCTGAAAAAAGACAATAGTCTATCCAGTTCAACCATTAAAAAAAAAAAGGTATAATCCTATACCCACAGTGGATCCAGAGGAAGGAAAAAAAACCCAGCAAAGCATGATCCAATTTGCTCCTGCTGGGAAACAAATTCCTTCCTGATCCCCCGAGAGGCAATCGGATATTCTCTGGATCAACTTTACCTATAAATGTTAGTATCCAGTTATATTCTGTGTATTAATAACTAATTAGTATTAATTATTATCGTTCAGCAATAGTTAATGTCTACAAACCTGAAAAGTACAATATGATATAAAAAAATATGTACATTTACAAGTTGAGCTTTAGATGATCCCTCTACTCCATATTGGTATTTTATTTAAGACAGCCATAAGTTTTAAGCTTGTGTGACTACAAGGTAGTGTGATTTCCAGTGCCACGTTGATGCGACTTTACACTCTCTGGCACTCAAGTCGCATCAAAGTAGTGCAGGAACCTTTTCAAAGGAGGTGGGTTTTAAGTCGCATAGATCTGAACGGGTGCCGTTGAAATCAATGAGCTGCGACTTGTCATGCGACTTTACTCAGAATCTGGTGCAGCTGTACATGGTAGTCAGCCAGCTTCTGACTTCAGCTTATTCATTCAAGCTTTGGCAATAAAACCTGGAAGCTGATTGGTTTCTATGCAGAAGTGCACCTGAATTTTCACCAACTTTAGTAAATAGCCCCCTATGTGTCCAAAGTCGCATAACATATCGCACAAGAAGAGTGAATAGAGCTTT